TGTGCGGGTTAATAATAGTAACCTGATGATTCTAACTGCTTATTAGTTCTGAGCTCGGGGATTTATTTATCGTTTTTTTTTTAATTATTGCGAAGATCTTTGATAGGCAACGTGTTTACATTCTAAATGAAATATATACCCATATTATTTCCTATGAAATGTTAACAAAATACTTAAAACAAAGCCTTTATTGTCTCTCTGATGAATATTCAATTAAATGTTATCTGCGAAAATTATAATTCACAAATTGAGCCAAATATGGCAAATATCAAACAGAGTATTGTGCAAAAAGTGAGCAGGTGCTCGCAATTTTTGCCTTTTTTTTTTGGTATATAGAAAAGCACACAGCTAAGTATATGGAAACATATCAAATATCAATAAGATGTTTTGTGATATGTTCACAAAAGCCTCGTTTGTTCAACTGTAGATAAACTGTTTGTACGTACATATGTACATATGTACATATGTACATTTATGAAAAGATAAAGATAAAAGTTATGCAATGGCCTGTTTGCAAAGATTTTGCCGATAAAATGCTTTATTTAAACAAACAAGTCATTTACATGTTCAAACCTTTTTAATTGCTTTACAAAAAAGCTGCAACGAAATGGAAATATTTGTTAAAAACAATTTACTTAACGCTATTCTAAAGCACACTTACTCTCTCCAGTGCGACATATGTGAGCATTTTTCACGCAATCGTTGCTGAACTCTCGAGTCTGACCCTTGTAATTTCCTGATGTGGGACGATACAACAATGGACAGATCTGGGGGCAGAATTTCTGACACTCTTCTTTAGTGCTCTCGATCAGGGCTGTGGGAATCACAATTATTTATAGAATGATTCTTGGTAATCAACTGATTTGCGCACCTGGCTTTCGAACACAGTTCGCCTTGATGAAGTAGCATTTATTGCGGAAGACAGTGCAACTGTCACCACTCGGGCTCAGAGCCCAGACAACCTCCTCCTCGTCCGGACAGTCGCCGGTACAATTGGCGCTCACTTGGCCTAGAGCCAGCACCAGGAAAAGAGGGACCAAAAAGTAGGATTTCATCTTGCGAGCTGCTGACAGCTGAATGTGCGGAAGAACTAACGCCAGCCCAAACGGATGATGAGCTTATATACTGACGCTCTAGCTAGGTCTATAGAAATGTTTCTAAAAGTCAATACAGACGTGCCAGATTCGGGGACTTTTTCTGCTCTACTGCCACTGTTCTCTGCGGATCGGGTTTTGGTGTCGTCAAAGAAGAATGGTCGCCTACGAAATACCCAGGAATATATATTGTGATAAATCATAAAACAAAGTGTTAATTTTCCATGCTTTTATGTTGACCAAGGTCTAGAACTTATGCCCAAAATGAAAAACAATATTTAGAGACTCTTTAAATTTATTTCCAAACACGAGTGAAGTTTCTTCAGGTATTTGTTATTGTTATTCCAGAAAAGCTGTAAATAAATACATAATAAATATTTTAATGGGCATTCTTGAAATTTTCCTGGAGTAAACTTACTTTCGCCCGTGAGACATGTGTGAGCATTCTTTTCGCAAGCATTGCCAAAGGTTCGCATCTCTCCATTTTGAAATACATAAACGGGCCGATAGACCGCTGGACAATTTTCTATGCAATTTGTCTGGCACTTTTCCTTGGTGGTGATGGTCAGCGCTGTAGGAAGTCTATGTTTATAGAACCTATCTAAGACATGAACTGATTTGCTTACGTGGCTCGCGCTTGCAATTCGCCTTGTCAAAGTAGCACTTATTCCGAAAGACTTGACAATTAGGACCCAGAGCCCAGACAACTTCTTCCGTGTCCGGACAGGCTCCGGTACAATCGGCTTCGACTTGGCTCAGCGCCACAGCGAGAATCACACAAAGCGAGAGAAATGACTTCATTTTTAGTATATTGATCAGAAACTACTGCCAGGTGTGTGCTCGTTTGATGAGTTTATATAGCTCTAGCTGGGGGCCCCGACCAGGGCTATCGAAGTATGTATTCATTAGTGTCAATATTCGACACGTGCGGGGGAATTTTCCTCGGTGTGGTTTGGTTTCTATGTACATGTATTTCATCTGATAGCAGAGCAATGGAGAGTGCTCGACGACGGAGATGCTCAGTAATAATAAATATTCATATTAAATAATATAATATATGACCGAGTGTTGTCTCGAGTTTTAGGGAATTCTTAGACAAATAATATATTTATAATTCGCTTTGAATGATGCAAATATACCCCAGAGCAAAAGTCAGTGAGTAACTTGTGGCTAATATATTCAATGGGCTCGTCGAACCTGAACGTGACTTTGTCAGCTGTTTTAGCCGCAAACTGGTTTCTCGTTGTACCCATTAACTAACTTTGGAACTCTCTCTGCCTATCTCTCTCTCTGGTTCATTTTGGGTCCAAGGTTTTGTAGGAAATAGAAACACAAACCACAAAACGTTTTATTTAAGCGGCAGGAGCAAAGCCAATCCGCCGCTGGGCCACATCGAAGGCCGTGTAATAGCGCCCAATGAAGACATCGCCCAAAATCCAGAATTCCGTGTCCATCAATGTGAACGCTGACAGGCACACCGAGGAGCCATCATCGTTGGCCACCTGCATCACGTAGTCCCTGGGCAGCAGCCCAAAGCGCTGGCCCCCTATCACGAAGACAATCTCCGGCAGGCGATCAATCTCCGAGCAGCGGAGCAAGTACTCGCCACTGGCCGTGGGCAGACCCCCGAGGAGGCTGTTGATGATCAGATACTCTCGGGGCGGTGCCACCAGCAGCGAGGTGCCAGTATCCGCCACTGCCTGACGCCCCTGGCTGATGGTCTTGCCATCGACTTCCACGCTCTGCATCTGAAACTGCCAGTAGTCGGCATGGGTGAGGGGCACGTAGGTGAGTGGCGCCGTGAACCTCTTGGCATCGATGCCACCGAAGAGCAGCTCGCCACCCTGCCGGGCGCTGCCATTTCGCTTCAGGTAGAAGGAGAAGACGCACTTCTCCACCAAGCCCTGATCGCACATATTCTGAAAGAGCGGAGTGGCCTGCTGCTCGGCAAGCGAACGAAAGGCCAAGCCCACAATGCCCGCAAAGTTGGTGTCCAAAAAGGTGGAACCAGACTCATGGATGGCCATGCCAAACGTTTGATTCTGCACCACCAGACGGCCAACAGCGACCGTGTCCTGGGCCAGCATGCCAGACAGGTGGCCTGTGCTGTAGGCAATGGCAAAGCGGCGACCATCAGCCACATGGCTGCTCGAGGCAGAGGCGTGGTGCTGGCAGGCCACATTCCTCGCCGAACACTCTGCACTGGGCACCCACAGATTGGCGGATCCTGTGTCGAATAGCATATTGAAGGGCTGTCGGGGTGTGCCGATGCTAATGGGACCAGCATACTCCAGATTCTGGCGATTGTCCAGCGGCTCACTGGCTCCGCTGCTGCGCTGCACCATCGCTGTGGCCCTGCTGGCCAGATTGTACTTGGCGTAGAGCGAGGTTTTTCCTGCTCGATGCTGTCGTCGTGTGGCCATGAACGATGCCTGCCGCTGCA